AACGAAGTAATTTTTTACAAAGGTGAATACCGCTGAATAAAATTTTGACAATCATAAACTGTTTAAAACAAATTCAGACAAAGTCTTTAAAAAATGGGAGTAAACAAAAAAATTTAACTCAAATCCAATAAGCGAAATTCTTTCTCGGAACGTAGAGGGGAATAATAATTTCATGACATTCCCTAAAGGAGCTTCAGCAGTCATTGCGGAAGCGCTTCAATAAAAACAGAACAATGACAATAATAGCGACCCAACCTGAAGCGAAGAGTTGGATGGAAGTGGATGTGGAAGGGGAAGGGGAAATGGAGGCAGGCGCACACCGGATATCCAGTCGGCGGGCGGAATCCTCAACAAATGTCAATTTATCATTTCCGCTGGTGAGGCGACGCAAATTGCAGAGCTTAGGAAATGCTTTGCGCGCCTGTTTAAAAGGCATTTTAACAGGGCAAACACGCAGACATTAGAACCGTCGCACACATCACCATCCATATAAATGGGCTCTAATGGCCCGACCCCCTTTCGACCCTGCCCCATTGTGGTATGCATAATTCTCTCTCTGTCCTGGCGCCGACTTTCTTCAATTTGTGGCCATGGCCATTCCGCAGTCGGACACAGATATTAAATATCATTCGGGCACGCATTTCTGGCATTCGTCCGGCTCTTTAATGCCGCCCCCAGTGTCCAATTTTATGCATTTCTTTCGTGTAAATATTCCTGTGCCCATCCCACGGCCCTCATGTTATTCATATTTGTGGGCAAGGCCATTGCCAAAATGTATTTTTAGGCCAGGACAATCCTCTCTTTCCCCGACGCCCAATTGAAATTAATGCGCTGGCCCAACGCGGCGGATACGTGTTATTTGTACGGCTGACTTGCCGACCGCCCGGCCAAAAGCCAAATGGACTGTGAACGTTCTGCTAAATTTGAATTTTAATGCTTTTGGCTGGTGAAATTTAACGACTCTCAATATCTTGGCGTGAAAATATTTTATAGTTATCGATTTTCCGTCTGTCAACGCAAAATGGAGGCAAAAAAGGTGTTTTTATGTCTTTTAAACGAATGAGTAATAAACTTTAATGCTTAAAAATAAAGTTTTATTTCTACGATATGTTATTTTTTTTATTCAAAGAAACTTGGGAATTAGGATAAGAAAAATATTTTATGAGTAATAAGAAGAGTTTGAACATTTTTATTGGCGACAGGTAATTTGGATAATATTTTATGAGCCCATCTACACAACTCTTAATCTTATACTCTTTCCTTTTTTTCTTTTCGCCTGATTGAATCCTTATTTAACCCGTTACTCCCACGGCCAGCCCACATTTTCAAACAACCTGGTTATCAACAGGACACACCCTGAAACAGGAATTGCGCTAATTAGACCGACAACAGCCACGCACCTCATCAACATGACCACCGTGCCACCAGCAATCGAGGAAGTGCCGCACCTACGGCAAGTGTAAACAGAGTACGTGGTTCCACAGAAAATCGTTTGCTCAATAAATCAAATTGACTGCTCGGTGGCAAGTCGAGCACCATATTTACTCTCAATTAGTTCAACATTAGCAAGACATTTTGGGCAACAAACAAGCTACTGCGTAATTAACCGAGTGGAATAAGTTAAGACCACTCCTCTCGCACGAGAATGGAAAACGCTTCGGGTCCTGAAAAAATTTAATTAAAATTATGCAAATTTCAGCGATAAACGCAAGTATCAAGCTTATGTCTTTGCCTTATGTCTTTGAAGAGCCCGCAGTCTTTTTAATCTGCCGCTAATTCCAGCTTTTGTGCGTGGGAAATCGGATTTTGATACTCTTACATCGGCAGCATATAAAATGTGATTAAACGTAAAAATAGTACAGTTAACGATGTCATCCCTTGTAAAATTTCCAAAATATGGGTCTTCAGAAAAATTAAAAAAACTCAGCACTTCCATAACTTTTTAATTTTGATCCGACTTAGACGCGGCATACCCCGAATATTTTTATTCGAGATTAAATAACCTTTTAAGAGCATCTTATGGTAGGCATAGTTCCTTTGTGTGCACAGTTTAATTGCTTGTCTCTAGCAGAAACAACAAACACTGTGCGGCACTTATTTGCATTTCACATTAGACGAAGGCATCTGAAAAGGAGCTTTGCAAGGACTTAGCATGTTCCGCCGCCCTTCGCCTGGTGTCTGTTTGTTTAGGCTTATACTTTGCATGAGTTGACATCTTTATTGGCAATTTATGTCCTTCCTGGCCCGTCCGCAATTCTCAGGTAATTCCGCTTTGGGTGTGGCCAAGTTCATAAGGAAATGAAATAAAATGGGCTTCGTCATCACCATTTCTTAATTAGTTGACAGGCCGCAAAACAGAAGTGTGCCAAGTAAACTCAGTTTCGACTTAACCATCAGCGGATTTGTGTTTTTAATTATGTTTCACTCGCAACCGGAATAAAATTGGAGTACAGCCTACGTGTTCGTAATACGAATGTCCTGGGTGGCGAAATAAATGGCGTAACCGAGCGGCAGTTTTATGGTTGAATGGGGCTTCTTTAGTTTCTTTTTATGTTTCATGCCGCGTTTCTTTTATGCTTCGGCGGAGGAAAATCAAAAAAGTTTGAAACGAATCCTAAACTTTATAGTAAGTAACTTTATGGTAAGCAAAAAGATAAAGAACGAAAAAGGCTGCTGGTAAATATTTATGAAACACTATAGCCCAAATGAATGATGAATATTGAATTTGCTTTTTGGCTTCAAGAACTCATTAAAATTTCCCAAATAAGCAAGAACTTTAGCGTTTTATTATACTGGTTATATTCCAGAATACTCTTGAACTCTTTCAAAGCCCCAATTAGCTCAGCAAACCCAAATTAGAGCATTACCAGGAACACAAATTGCGCAGCTGGCGTAAATTAAAAGCGGCTAGCAGAGTAAAATTGCTAAGCAATAATCATAATTTCTGGCATTAACAGGAACGAAATTTTCTGGGTAACTTTCGCTGTGCAACCAGCCATTGATAAAGTGTCGCTATACAATTTATCAGAACTCCCTCCGGGGAACTGGTAAATGAAAAGCGTTGGCGAGTGGGAAAACGTGCGGAAAACGTCGGCTAAACAAACAGTGGCTGCCACTGCTGCTGCACCTGCCACGAGGGAAAGCTGTGGTAATTTATGAGTCATTCTCTGGAAAACGCTGTGTGCTCTCGTTTTGGCTTCGTTGGTTTTTCATATTTTCATTATTTCGAAAGGGAGCAAATAAACCGCAGGAACTTCCCAAAAAAAACAAGAATTAAATGTTTGTGGCGGTCTCTTCTTCTTTTTTGATGTTTGCAAATGGCATTACCCGAACTTTGCTCCGAGTCGAGTAAAAGTTATTGCGGTGAAAATTCAAATGAATGTCCGAGTACATTGAAAATAATTTACATAAAAATATTTTCAGTGGCAATGAAAATTAAATTGAAGTTGATTTACATTTTTCGGCACATAAACACCAGATTTAATTTTTGAAAATGGACATTTCCGTTTTATTTGTTTTCTCAGCAGGAAATCAAAATTAAAAAATGGCGTCGACCAACAACACTGTTCGCAGGCAAAGTGAGAAATTTATGAATTCAAACACCAGGCAAACAGAAACGCTAAGCAGGCGTAAATCGATCAGCTGATCAGTATAAACTGGGATTGCTTAGTGACGGGAGCGTGACAACTATTTCTTGACTAGCTAACAACAAACACATGAGAAATTATTAATTACTCGTGAGTTGCGTGCCAGTTTCGTGACACAAACAAAAACTCAACGTGGCTCCCATCTCTAGTCTGCGTCTTACGCCTAAATAACGGTAACCTTCCAATGAGCTAGCTTCTTATTGGCCGATCAGTGAGGGGAAGCGTACCAAGGTCAGCACCCTTAAAAAAAGAACAGTTATTTTAGTCAGCTCAGATTTACCAGCTGCAACCTGCTGCATATTATGTTTGCCTGGTGTCTAAAATCAAATTTTAAGTAGTTGGCTGCACAATTCCACGAACCAGTAGCGCCGCAATGTATGCTACACTTCTTATTAATCGTTAGCAACAAAAGCTTGGGTGAAATGGAGCTAGCTTAGAAACGCTAAGCCTTAAATTCGGCCATGAAAGTAAAATATTAGGCCCATTAGCTCGTTCTCTTTAATATATTTTTCGTGATATATTAACAGCTTTTCTTTGTCCAAAATAAACGATATTATCACCCTACTCCGATTCATATGCCGTAAAGCAACTTTGGGCCCCAGAGCAAGCTTCGGAATTTGTATTATGATATTACCCATATCGCTGGCCATAAAAGTAAATTCCGTCTGCGCTTATTAGATAACATAAACAGGAGCATGAAATGCGTTAACGTGCATGAGAAAATACTGAGCCGAAGGCGACTGTCCGGCAACACGTCGGCTACTTAACAAAGTTAAGGATCTTACACAAATTTGCCATTGGGCACATAAAAACGCTTGCGGATGTAGTGGCGTGTAATGGAGTGCATTGTTTATGTATACACAAATGTATACATCTCGTTATATATATATTCGTGTACAGTTAAACAATTTATATTTGCGACACCATTAAGCACGGTAGGCGGGCAGGCTGGGAAACTGGGGGAAATGGGAAAATGCGAGCAAAAAGGCAACTGCGATAACGACGTACGCCCAGCGTGTTGATACAGTAAATAATACTGAAACCCCTGGTCACAGGATTTCCTTTCATCCGCACACACAACACACTCGGAGAAAAATTAGACGAAAAAGAGCTCGAATATAATTTATATTTATAATAAATAGTATAGAAACGTTATTGTTCTTTAGAAGGTTTATATTTCGAAAATAATGTGGGGTTCTTGTATTCTTTTTTTTAGAAGGCTTAAACTTTTTTTGTAAGTCTATAGGTCTAGTGATCTTTTTTCCGAGTGCACACACACTTACACACGCACACCGAATGCTGAATAGGTGTTCATATGAATGTATTGGATATCAAAGATTGAGCCTGCCTTACCTTCGTCCTCGTCGTCGTTGAACTCCGTGAGTGCCGCCTTGTCGCAGGGACGGTCAATGCCATTTGTTGCTTCCGCCATGCCACTCCCACCGCCTCCGTTGGCCGCCTTTGCATCGCCGTTGGAGATAATTGAATTTGATTTGGCGTGATTTGTGTGATTGTTCGCGGAGGACTTCGAGGACTCGCCGTCCAAAGGAGGAGCACTCGGCTCCGCTTCCCCGTTGCTCACCGCGTCGAGCGCGGCGCCATCCTTGGTCTTCAGCTCCTGGCTGGTGTTGCAGCCCATCTCGCTGGCTTTCGGATTCGGGTTACGGATTTAGCAATTTAGTCCGCGGTTTTTGGTGGGGTCTCTCCGCTTCCAGTTGGCCTAGGTTACCCCTGTTTTGTTTAATCAATTGCACACGCACACGTCGAGACTAGCACACACACACACAGTCCCGAGTTGGAAACTAGTTTATGAACTATTACTTGTTGTTTCTGGGGCAATTTGCACTCTGACTTTCGCGAGACGAAACCTTTACTGCTTAAAATGTTTAGAAAAATACGCCGAGCTCTAGTTGCTTGTTCAAAAATGTCTGTGTTTACAAAAGTCGTTAGAAAAAGGTGCACAACCACAGGTTACCAGCCAAAGACCTCGCTCGGAACCGGAAGCGGAAACCAGCTGAATGGCAGACTCGCAGCGCAACTGACTGTCTCTGGCACGAGCTCAGGCACAACTGAACTGACTTTGACACTGAACGGCGCCGGCGACGCGTCCTCACTGCGGATGCCACGGACCCCGAATGCCCGACATCCCTATATCCTGCAGGAGCCGGAGTTTCGAGCTCAACAAGCAGCGACGCGCCAGCCGGCAGTCAACGACACACAAAGCCCAGGGAAACAGAGAGCCAGGACCTCCCGATGAGAGAGAACGAGTCTCTTTCTCGCAGGATTGACAGTGGGTTCAATTCCTGTTAAAAGAGAGTTTAAAATTTTGAAAAAAGGAATCGAATCATTTATCATTTAATAATAGATAGAAATGTAATTAATTTTAATTTATTAAGGTGGAAAAATTTACTTGTTCTTTATAAATCTCATTCGATTGTAAGTGCTATCATTGCTCAAATCTAGTAATCTTTAAAAATCAATTAAATGTATCTCAAGTTTTTAATTTGTTAAATAGACTAAACGAAACATACACCACTGTCAAAATGACTGCTTTATTTGAGACGCGAACAGAGAGCCAAAAAGAGAGTGGCTTTCAGCCGGGCGACAACAGCGGCAGCTGCCTCTGTTGTTGTTAGCCAGCTCTGGCTGCAAACTTTTTCGCAAATAAACAAACCCACAACCAAAGCCGACTCACAGATACGCAACAGCACACACACACACACATACATTCAGAGCGAAACAGCACAATGTGGCTTAAAGGAGCCGCAGAAACCGTTGCGGTGCTACCAGAATCCGAATCCGAAGAGCAGCAAAGGCAGCCATGGCAATGGCATCATCATCGTGGCAGCAAGTACAACACACACAGGCACAGGCGCACTCACACCAGCATAGGCCAAAGGACTCTCACACGCACACACACATACACGTAGGCACTTTGCGTGTAACCGGGCGTAAACAGCTGAATGAAAGCCCAGCAAAAGGGAATGCAAATAAAAAGGAATATTACCAAGATGAAAACCTGGCCCATAAAAATATCAATGAATACGGCACGGCCGCTCCTTTGAGCCTATATAGCAATTCATAAAGGCAACTAGCTTATATCTTTTTCTCATCAGCTCTCATCTGGCTTCCTTTTTGGTTTCCTTTTGGTATTTATTTTTGGGAGTTGGCTTCTCGACTCAACTGGGCTTAGAAGTGTGAGTGAGACAAATGAATTGGTTGCTCCTTTTTGTGGCTGCGTTTCCTCTTTAGTTCCCTTTTCGGGGTCCTGATTATCGTTCTGTAAATCCTGAGAAGTTACTATGGTTTTGTTCGATGATTTGATTTAAATAAATTTCAAATTACAGTACAACTTATCTGCAATTTACTTTGACCAATTTCTTAAAATTTATAGCTGTCGAAATGCTTACGGTTTTGTTTTAACGCTTCAAGTAATTTTTTTTAAGAGTGTACCCAGGTTCCAACCTTGGAGTTTCTACCATAATAATAAAGTCAAAGTGCGTTCACTCTAGTTGGAGAGCAAAACACGAATTATCGTAAAGCGGGGGTTCTTGCATGTGTAATCCAAACTTACCTTGGCCACCCACTCATGCTGATATTATATAGGTGCAGATGTCAAAACATATGCAAATTAGCTTCCCATGGTAAATGTGGCATAAAAAGGCAGAATAAACAAACAGAACGTGAGCTGAAACTTCCTGTATGGCAATGGAAAATATTTCCCAATAGCACAGAAAGCTATTAATTAAAAAGAGACAGTTTTCATTTAATTTAAATGTCCATGAAATGTAAAACCTTGACAAAAGACTCAGTCAAAAGACAACAAAAACTCGACAGAAAACCAATTATACAAATTAATTGAGTTAAAATGAGCATTAAATGCATGTTAATATCGTTTAAAAATTATCTTTCCATAAGGACGATTCTAAATGTTGAAACACTAGCGGGAATACAGAAATGAATGATGAAGAACTTTAGGTAAAAATCGCCAATTTTGACACTTGTGCGCTTTAAAGTTTCCGAAATTCTTAAGCCGGAAGGCTGCCAAAAAGGCCAACAATTAAGTGGCGAGGACCAGCCTTCGGCAGCGGCTGGCTCGACGCCTTTTCAGCAGTTGCACTCTGGCAAACAAAAACAGGATGGGCCAGGACAAGAGACAGAACTTGTCGCTGCTCCAAAACTGATGGAAAAACAGCCTTGAAAGCGTGAATTCGCGCACCCCAAAAATGTGGGGGCAAACATAAGGATTCGGGCCGGGTGCGAAAATTCATGGGCGAAAATTCCAGAGTCCCTTGGCACTCGACTGCTACTTCATGACGGCAAAAACGCGCGGCGACACATAAACCCTTTCAGGGCCTGATAAAATGACTGACAACTCAAGAATCTCTAGACTCGAGAGTCTTAGGCCCAGAACTTTTCGCATCATTTGCCAGCAGAAATGCCAGGTCATTATGTTGCCCAAAAGATATAAATAGCTTTGTTTTTCAGATAAAAATGTTTGGCTTTTCGATTTTTCTTGTTTTTTTTTTTTTGCCCCTTGTGAATGAGAATAAGAAAATACGTATACGCCGCGTGGCTGCGAACTCTGGCATGTCCTTTGCTCTCTGGCCCGCCTCCTCCCAAGTCATTTGCCGCCTCCTTACTTCGGGTCTATTTTTTTTTTTTTTTTGCGCTTCCCTCCCGGGACCAGTGCCAAATGGAAAGTTTTTCGCGTCCTTTTTTGCGTCTTTTTCAAGTCTGAAGTTCAGCGGTGCGCAACAATTTTCAGGTCTACTAGAAAAACTGACAGCGAGCAAATAAATTTAAAGCGAAACGCGGTGTGTGCTCTAGAGATATTTGACTTAAGGTTCTCACAAACGGAATCCGATTTTCCGTAAGTACTTGAAATGAGATAAAATTTCGCAAAATAATTTATCTGCGTTTTTATTCCGCGGCTTAACTCCACGGCTTCCGTTTCCTCTTTTTTGTTGATTATTGTTTGCCTAGCTGACACTGTTTTGGCAAGCAATTTATTCGCATTTCCGTCTCATTATTTATTCAACTTTTCACCTTGACCGTGTCCTTTATCCCACGTCCCTCACATCTGAATATCTGATGTCATGTCTGCGATAAAAGCGTTTCTTTTGTCACCTTCATTTGTTGGCCGACTTCATCTGCCGCGTTGATTTGTGGCAACAGGGAAAGTCGCTAACGGTAATTGAATTTGGCTCAGAATGATATATGCACGAATATTTTTTGCTGTATCCGTGACAATGCCAATTAATCATAGGCGACATTGAAAAGGCGTTGAAATGAAATATCCATCGCACGTGTGATTTATTTAATTTCGTATTATTAACGATGACACATAATGAAATTAAGGAGGAAACGCTAAAAAGGAAGGGTGTCTACCCAATCGTTTCCCCAGTAAAAGGAGGTTTTTTTAGGAATAGACAAATATTTACTATTTCGCATTTTAGTAAGCAATATGGGTTTTATTTAACTCATGTGGAAATTCCACAACAATTCAGAGGAGCCGAGCTCATTGCATGGCCAGCAGCATTCATATCGGATAGCTCAGCTCTTGGCCAAATGCCAACCCAATATTAACCGGGAATATGAGCAGACAATAGATGGCGAAGGGGTCGGCGGAACGGAGTGGATCGGATCGAATCGGTGTGTCTGGCAGCCAAGCGGCAAACCAAAAAATGACAGTTCGGATGTCAGGAGTGCTTGATGTTGACTTTAAAATCACATTCAAGAGCTCGCTCCGCACACTCAACCGGACTCGTATAGCAGTTCAATTACACGACTCCCCGCTGCATGCTTGCACCGCCTGCCACGCCCACTTACCCAGGGCTACCACCCTACCGCCCAGTCACCCACCCACACGGCCATGTTTATTGAAAGGTTACATGAATGACACACACGCCACAAAAACTGAAGCACCCACACAAACAGACATCGACCGCAGCCACACACACACAAGCAGGGGCGTGCCGTGGAGTTCATGCAGGGGTGGGGATTTCGAAAGGAAATATCTATTTAACTACATTCTTATTAAGTTATTAAAATACATAAAATAAGGCAACTCATTAATGATTTAGACGTACTATTGAATACATTTCCTATTAGAAGGAGATACAAAAATCCCCCCCTTACTTCGCCCAGAAACGTTTATGGGTAAGCCACTTTGCAATGGGTTTATAGGTGTAATCATACATCAAGTTCTAAAAATGTTCACCCGAGTAGGAAGTTTAAGCCCCAAGAAACCCCCTTAGCTGCCACTGCCTCCGAATCTTTCTCACACGCACAGGAGCATTTGCATTGTCTGGTGGCATCCCCTTTGATTCGTTTCTTTTTGGTTGCTTTTCATTGCATTAAGTGAATGTATCTGCATGCATATGCGACACGACAATAGCGGGGTATTTAGAGGGGGAAACGGGGGCAGTGCGCTGCCAATTGCAACAGACGCCGCCGTCTGGCAGCTCGTTACGTGCCATCACGAAGGGCCCCCGTTTTCCAGTCAACTCCCAATGAGTCTCCCATCCGGAGACTACCAATCGAACCCCCTCTTAAAGACCTGTCGTTCCGATTAAAGCCACACTTTTTGTGTTGGGTCATTGCCTACTTTTTTGGGCCCACGCGCTTCCTGTCTTTTCGGTAGACCAACGGTCAGATTGCCTGATGGATGATTTTTGGCCAATTGATTGATGTACAAATTTTGCAAAGTTGACAAAGATTTCGGGTCCCACAGGAAGCCACCAGCCGCCAGTCATTTCGGTAGCCACCAAGCCCTCTAACGGGTTAATCGAAAATTTCGTGAATCCTTTACAACTTCCGCACAGCAATCCAATCCCTCAACTAAAAATATAAATATTAAAAAGGGTTTTTTTTGTAAACCTTACAATGTATGTGAGTATAAATATTTCGTTCTGTGCACAAACAAAGCAATTACTTAACGTTCCCCACACCAATTATTCAGTGAAACCATTAAAAATGTATTACATACTGAATTTCATAGACAAGCATTATGTTTTCAGTTATGGTTCCACATAAACTTGTTTTCTAAACCATTTAACGATGGTCAATAAAAGAGTCGAACCGTGTGTTTCGAATGGTTTGGGTTTTATGACCTTAATACGGCTCCGCAAACACTCTTACTGCGCAACCAGAGACCGTTTTTAATTAACAATTACCACATCGAGGCAAGCCCAGAAACACGTGTCGAATTCTGTGGCTTTGCTCGGGGCCTTGGGTGCCTAAAATTAAGATAATAGGGGTAAAATTGGAGAAAGGCTCCCTTGGCAACTAGGGTCCCAGCCGAAATCAGTGGACAGGGCAGTGTGACTCTTGTTACCAAAACTCGGGGCGAAGGCTCCAAAAAATACACGAGTCAAAACAAAAAAGACCGCACCTAAACGGATGACGCAGTCGGGAAGCCACCTTTCCGAGCTGGAAAACCAACGGCTTGCATTTTAATTACACTGTTCTTTACACCTTAACGTGTTGAAATGCCATAAAAGACAACAAAAGCATCTACGCCAACAAAAGGGCAGCAACAGCCAAGTCGTGAAAAGACTTAAAACGCTAAAGGAAAGTAGAGCAAAGTTGATGATAGGATGGTATATAAACGCAGGATGCCCTTTAAAAATAACTTTTACAATTTGTAAAACAGAATAATAATGGTTATTAGTTTAGAGAGAATTTTGAGATCATTAAAGTTAAATTCAGAGCTCAGTTTGATAGTGTTTAATCAAAAGAAAATGTTCATAAATATTATATCATTTTATCCTTACTACATCTATAATATTTAAGGGTATTTCGTGTAGAGACCCTTGGAAATACGGAGCGTGTCTGGGCGGCAATTAAAAGTAGCCATTCGCTGCCCCACATGGCGGACGAGCAAATCGCCAGAATTCCCGGCTCAAAGGTGTGGAAATTCCGGTGTGTTGACCAGAGTTGGCGACTTTTGCTTAGTGTGCGTGTTTGCCTCCGTTTCCATTTCGGTTGCCTTCTGATTCTGTTTGCCTTTTTCTGTCGAAGTGTGTGGTCAGCTGTGCTCAATGATAAAAGCGAAACGATAATTTCCGTTGGTGGACCTGGGCGGCAAAGTGACCATTGACATGCAAATTTCCATTTAGGGCGAAAGCTTTCTGACAGCACGAAATGGAGTCGCGTTGGAAGTTTCACCCAGGCGAAGGTCATAGTTCATTCGGTTGTGCAGCTGCCTGCAGCTCAAATTTATTTTTAGCCAAAGCCCAGGGCAATAATGGGAAATTATCATTTGTTGACGTAGTTGCGCACTTTCAAGGTGCAAGAAAAGCTAAACATTTTCTCCGATACTTCTTGCCATCCTGCATCTTTTAAGAAATGCCGTTTGCATTCTTAGATATCTTTTTCAAACTATGAGTATAATAGGAGAACGTATGAATTCGTCTACATAGGTTGTTAACAATCTTGTAAGCTTAAATATGTAATTTGAGATACTTTACAGAAAACTACTGAAATAACGCCAGTAAAGGCACATGGCTGCAACAAACTAGAAGTTATCCTTACAAACTTGAGGTAACTTAATTACACGAAGTCTCCTGGCTTAACGCCTCTGAATGAAAACTCCAGGCCACCGCCCATCTTGTGGTGTGTCCCTGATGAAATTCCGTGGTGCTGACATTCGCCACCTCCCGCTCCTTCAGGTAGTCCAGTATCCTTGGCACGTTGGCCTTGACGCCCAACATTGTGGTAAAGATGCTGCGACAAGGAAGAAACTCACGTTAATTCAATTTCAGAAGCTAATCAAGATTGACTTACCGCACGCGCAGCTTGTTTTCCAGACTCTCTTCGATGATGCGCTGCACAAACCGTACCTCGCCGCCCACGCAGGTTAGTTCCTCCTGGCTTCCAGTCCTGGCATTATTGGGTGCAGGTCGTCTTTCGGGATTCCTCGTATTTCCCCCAAAGGGGTTTGCCAAGTTGGAGTCAAAAAAGGGTGGATTGCACAGGCAAAAGTGGTACTGCAAATTTTGTTGGTCTTGTCCGAAATAGCTCTTAAAGATGCTGGTTTTATCTGGTTGGTGGTAAACCTCTATAAGGCTTTCCAGTTGGTTGTTCGTTACATTCTTCCTGGCGTATTCTATGTTTTCCGGCTTTGATTCCAAAGCCAACATGTGCCAGCCGTTTTTCTTGGCTCCCAATAAAGAATATATGCAGGAGGATCCGCAGCCTGTGAGTGAAATAGTTTAGTTTAGAAGATCTTGGTAGATGTTACTTACAACTCACCTATATCTATACCACTGATTTCCTTAAGTTTTAACGGTTCCATTAAATCTTCCAACCATAAAATGTAATTTAAACGCAGTGCCAAGGTGGGCACCAAACTTCCTGGTGCAAAATCCACATTTAAATTGAAGTATTCCTTAAGAAGCATTTTAGTTAACTCTCGCAGGGTCTTCTCACTTCGAAAGTTTACTGAGACTTTGCCATTCAGCTCCTAGTTAAATAATATTTGATTAACAAACTTGCACAATCTAAACTTCTTCGACTCACCAATTCGCACTCTTTACGAAAATCCTTGTATTTAATAGCCAGTTTTGTATAGTCAGGTGGCTGCCGCAACACGTTCCTTGGATGCATGCCAAATTTCTTCGCATTTCTTTTAGTTTTACCCATGTTATTGTTCAAAATATTACAATTAATTACGAAAACAAATGCCGCCGAACTTTAAACAGCTGATTAGCGTTTCGGTCTGGCAACTCTCATTAGCGATGGCAGTGGCTCGATTTCTTTTATTAATAAGGGTTTTTGGTTTGTTTTTCTTCTTATAAACTGGCCCTATTGCCACTTGTTGCTTGAAATTTTGTAAACAAATACAAAACTTTTTCCATGTCTTGGCCGGGAAAATTATTAGTTACTTACGAAAACTTCACATCCGATTTACCAGCTCTTGAAATTGGCAAACGAACAAAAGGATGTCACTCTTTCTGTCAGTGCAAGTGCAAATGCTGCGGAGGAGTCAGGGAGAAATACGTGGCATTCGATGGGGAAAACGTTATTGATTCAGAGTTTTCAAACGAATTTTCCGGCGATGACGATGTACAGAAAATTATGCGTTTTCGCAGTTCGGATATGCTGGTTTTACTACAGGTAGCGCAATTACGTGATCATTTTTGGACGAATCAGTATTTCAAAGTTGATTTACAAGAAGATTATGAAGCTATTGCAAAGGCTCTTGAACTTCAAAACCGGAAATTTGATTTGAAACGGTTGGCTGAGATTCTGGAGACAGTGACCTCCGGCTACAGACGCGCAGTCAGCCAGTTATCAGGCCAAGAATCCCAGGGAGCCCTGCGTCCCAAAATGAGAGCTCTTGTTTTACCAGGATTGCGTTGTGATTGCATTAAATGTGAACAACTTCCTTGGAAAAAGCTACAGGATGTTGAGGATCATCAGAGGAGTCACACATATTCGGATAACTTTCACTGCCAGATTTGCTATCGCAGATTTTACCTTCAGCATTCTCTAACTTCCTATTTTAGCAGAAACGTAGGACCTAAAAACTTTGGAACTGAAGAACTCCAGGAAAATCTGAGATACAAAAGAATACTAAAGAGTCTGAAATCCAGAGAACGGGAGCAAACGGAGTTACGATATGCTAAAATTGAGGATATAGTGATGCCAGTATACAAGGACTTAAAGATGTACCTCAGAGAAGAAACTGGACCTTCCCTGCAAAAACGAAAGACAACTAGACACACCAAATGTCCTATTTGTAATGAGAAATATGGATTCTCTTTTAGCCACCAGCTGCATATGGTTAAGCATAGAAGAGATTGCGATGATATAACCCTCTATCCCTGTTCCTATTGCAATAGGTCTTTTAGGTCCAGAAAATTTCTAAGCAAACACCACAAGAGGGTAAGAATGTCCAGCAACATTCGCTATCGTCCTTTCAAGTGCCAAGACTGTCCAAGCAGATTTCAACTGTGGTCTGTCCTTAAAACTCATATAACCCGGATCCATGAACGCAAGAAACCCTGTCTGATTTGTCAACTTCCCACATTGGGTCGCTGTTGTTTTAATCACACAGTCGAGGAATGTAGAGAAGCCGTTAAAAAACACCGAGAAAAACTTCGTCGCATAAATGGACCTCCCAAAGCAGGCTGCAAGAAGAAACCCAGACCAGTGTGCGAAATCTGCGGTATGGATTTCGCAAACAAGTTTTTCCTTAGAGAGCATTTGAACAAAAAGCATTTACATAGAAGGAATTTTACTTGCGAAATGTGCGGAGCGAGGTTCTTTAGCCAGGGCACAATGCAAACACACCGTAAGTCAGTGCACCTGTTGATTCAGACTGCAGAATGTGATGTTTGCAATCTCACTATCAAGTCTAGAGCAAATTTCCTGAGGCACTGCAAGTCGAAAAGGCACAAGAAGGAGTTGCTTAAACTGAATGGTGACCAAGAAAAGCATAAAGAAAGTAACCAAAACGAAAGTGTGGCAATCAATCAAACAGAATCGTCTAATTCATCATCAGATCCAATCGAAGAATACCTTGATATGCTACTTAATAACGAATCTACCACTGCAAGCGAGGATATAGAACCTGAGCCGGAAATCTATTCAAGAACGCCTAGCAGATTTCAAATTCCTGAAAAAGTTACTTTCTGTAAACCCTGTGGAAATTCTATTGTAGGAAACATGCAACGGCATTTCAGATCGACTAAACATAGGCGCAACTTAGTTGCGTCCAAAAAAAATAATAAGTCATAAGCCGTTGAATAATTAAATTCGATCCAAATTTAATAAAACCGTGCAAAATAAGTTATAACAAAATTTCTCGTTATTTAAAAAGTCGTTTAAAAGGTATGAAAAAATACCGATAGGTAGTTCCCGTAATATTGGAAAATTAGTTATTTCCTTGCTTACCGCTCGACGGTCACTCTAAACTCAATTTCGGCAAAACAAAACACATTTTTTACGGAAAACTCCGTTTTAGTTAATAATATTAACTAATAATGTCGGAAACTAGCTCCAAAGACAATGTCAAGACGGCAATGACGTATATTTGCGGGGGTAAGTTTTGAAAACGAATTTATTTAATACTGAATTCATATTTACAGCGGGCACATGGTCGCCCGCGTAGCCACCAAAAATGTATTAAAAATGCTTCTACTTAAATATTTTTCTTATTATTAACTTGTAGAATGTCATCACGAAAATGAAATGCGACCAAGGGATCCGATTCGTTGCCGTGAATGTGGATATCGTATTATGTACAAAAAACGCACCAAGCGTCGTAAGTAAACCTAGAAGTCCCCAATGATTCTCAAACTGTACTAGTAAAATCTTTCGTTTGTATTTGCAGTTGTTGTTTTCGATGCCCGTTAAAAAAAACTTCAAAAATAATGGACACCCGTCGAAATATTTTTAAGAAAATAGTATGTAGCTGATTAAATCTTGTGCTTCAATAAAGCTTTGATAAAACATATTTAGGCATTGCTCATAAAAGAGTTGGGTTAAAACTTTTTTCTGTTTCCCTCGTGAAAAACTTGAAACCAATAACCCCAACACAATAAAAGAACTTTGCTTTATATTTTAAACTAATTATGTTTTATTTTGAATGTTTTGGAAATATATAATTTTAAACTAAAAACACTCACATTACAGTTATTGTAATTATACCTTTTATTTATTTGCAAGTTCATTGCTTAAATAAAATTTAAAGTAATTCGGTTTGTTCTTTTTTGTTTCCTTTCTTATAAATGTCTTTTTTCGTCTCAAAAATTTTGTCTAAATGGCTTGTCATCCAAAAATTTACTTTACTTAAGAATTTTCTCTTCGTTTACGCTTTAGTTTAGTTTTGTGTAATAAATTTACGTTTGTTTTTAGTTTACCACATTTAGCAAAAACACACATTTTACACTAAAATTGTTATACCTTTATTCATATATACCATATCTTCCCCCGACACTTTTCAGTCAAATATTTCTTGTTCAGTGTGGTAAAAAGTTGTATTCTATCCATGTTCTTTGAGTATTTTGTAAGTTGTTCTTGTGTTTCCTTCTTGTTCTTCTCGCCGACTTTCCATTATGATAAAATCATGAATACATCTACACGTACAGTAATATAGTTTTTGTTCATTTTGCTTTGTTAATATTTATAGACGTTTGTTTTTCCATATTTAAAACGTTTTGCGTGAGAATGGTTCTTGTTTTGTTTTTGTGGGCATTGTGGGCGTGACTGCTGCTCCGCGGAGTAACTAAATCAACTAAAACTAAATTTATATCCACGTTAAAGCTTAAATGATAAGTAAGGCAAAGGGTTCGATGAGGTTTGCGTTTGCAGTTCATAAATTAATCCATAAACTAAGGTAACTAGACGACTAAATGCTAGGTGTAAAAGATGGCAATCATTACTCGTAACGTAACTAAACTGAAGCTTTGTAAATGGCAAATTAAAGCTTTTACTTCACATTTCATTCAATCGAATACAAATACAATTGGAGGAAATCAGGGGCCGGGACACATTTGATAAATGCTCATTCCAGGTAATTACTAAATAGTTAAATATCCGTGTGTAAATGTTCATTGTGAGTAGTGTGTTTGGGGTGGTGTGTTTGTGAGATAGCTCAATTGTACAACTAAGATAATGAAATTCACTTGCAATCGGCTGCAAAAGCGCTTTCGAGACCGTTTGCATGAATTGTGTTTGTTATGTTTTTAAGTATTTTTGTTTGTTTAAGAGAAATCATATTTCAGGTACATCACAACTTAAAATTTAAAAAATTAAATGCAATTTTTTAAACGATTTTCAATGTCAAATGCCTAATGCATTCCATATATGGCAAGCAAACATTTTCTAATCTTAAGCGAATAAAATAAAACCGAAACTACACGGCCACTTCAGCATTTCTCCGCCTGTCCGCGGCGAATCCTCTTCTGCAGAGCTGCCTGCAGCTTAAGTTTTCCGTTTAGGGAGGCGGCTCCCTTCTGGCCATGTCGCCAGTACTTGTGGAGGGCCAGCGATCCCAGCGTGTGGTAGTTGAAGCTGATGGAGAGGTTCTTCCGCCCCTGGTTGCACTTGAGGCAGCCCAGGCGCTGCCGCACCATGCGATTGAGGTACTTGTCCCTTAGCAAGGTGACCACCGCCTCGGGCGTCAAGCGGATCTTCTTGGGCTGCGCCTGCTTCCGCGAGCTGGACTTCTTGCTGAAGTCCAGCGGAGCAGCCAGATACTCCTGCTGGCTGGCCGCGTCCGCCAGAAGAGGCAGCAGGGTGGCCAGCTGGTTGAGGGATTTGCGCGAGGCATTTGCTGCGCTGTTGCTGTGAGCCGGAGCCGCCTTTTTGGGACTCCGTCGCGGTACGCTGAGATCCAACTGGCGCTTCAGCAGCGATGTCGCCGGCGGCGGTTGCTGCACCTTGGGGGCAATGGTCAGAGTAATGTCCTCTTTGTTGCGCAGATACTCGATGTACTCCTCCGTTTCGCTGAGCAGACGACGCCGCTTGCTCGGCGACATGTTCTCAATGTCCAGTTCCGGATGCTGCTGCTGCTGCTGACCCGTGGTCGTGGCCGTTGGCAACGCTGCCGCAGCAGCGGCCAACATCAGAGGCGTCTCCGCCGCATAATACTTGTTGATGATGTCCTTGACGTAGTTCTGGAACTGGGTACCGATGCGGTTGAGATTCTGGTACTCCATTTGGGTGAGAAACGGTGTCTGGTTGCTGTTGCCGCTGCCACTGGGCGGAGATGTTGCTGCCGCAGCTGCAACACATGCTGCTGCTGCCGCTGCTGCTGCTGCTCCTGGCGACTTGATCTTGTTGTTCTCCTTGTCATCCTGGCGATGATGGTGAACGGCATTTCTGTGCGATGACTTGTCCTTGTAGTAGTTGTTGTTGTTGTTATTGCTGTTGCTATTGTTGTTATTGTTGTTGTTGTTGTTATTCAATTTGTACGCGGGAGACGATTTAATAAGCTGCAATCGCTGCTGTTGCTGCTGCTGCTGGCTGTGATGTTGCTGATGTGGCTGATGCTGCTGCTGCTGGTTCTCTTGGTCCTCGTCGTTGTCGTTGTCGTGCTCGACCTTGATCTTCCGCTTGCTGGCCAGCAGCTCGATGGCCGTCTGCTCGAAGCTGGCCGCCTCCAGAAATGCCGTTGCCATCATCGCCTTGGTGGGAACCAGGTCCTTGCCGTCCATCTCCATCTCCTCCATCTTCTCCAGCTTGACTGCGTGACGCGACAGCTTCAGCGGCGATGTGGCGCTCATGTTGAACTCATCGCCCGAGAAGCTCGACGAGGAGGCCGACGACGGGGTGTTCTCGTCGTCCTCGCCGGTGGAATGTTGTCGCGCCCGAATGCCGAACTTTTGGCGCTGGGAACCGGAAACGGAAGCGGAGCCGGCGGGTCCGCCACTCATGCTGCTTAGGCTGTACAGTAGTGCAGCAGCCTCTCGTGTCGTCCATTGCGAAGGCAGTTTATTGTTAAACAGGAGTTGATGATTGGCTGGTATTTTCAACTCGTGCACGCCTCCCGCCTTATGAAAATCCTGAGCGACCGAAGCGGTGTTGCGACTAATGGCGTCCATTTTCAGCAGACTGCAAGGATAAAGAGCGAGGAATTAGTTAAGTGTTTAGAGATATGACAACGGAAAAAAACAAAAGGCGAATAAACAGCAATTAATAGGGAAAATCAGGGGAACAACTGAATAAAACCAATAAAAACAACGGTGCAATCAACAAGTGCATATTCAGAAAACGCTTTAAGTTTTTCGAAGAATATGTACAAAAGGTTAACAGCAAAACGAAACATAATCCAAACATTAATCGAAACACTGATTAGAAAAAGGCAGGAACATAACACAACAATCAGTGCGACCTAGGGAATAATATTTCTCAAGAAGTGTATTAAGAGAATAATTTTGAAATTCACAGAACACATAACATAACATATTGAAACATAAAAGAGCAACAGAACAACTTATTTTTTAGCGATAGATAAGAACTGTTTTAGAAATATAAAACTTGTAAAAATCAATAATTTGTGTAAACACAGAACATTTGCAAGGGGAGATTAGCAAATGAAAATTTGTGAAAATAAATCAAGATAAGCCAACGCATAAACAGAATGCATCAACAAAAGTTAAGGAACTGAGTGAAAACCAACGAAAGCGCAATGGAACTGGGGTAAATCGGTTGTGCAAATACCGCGCATAGTCCTCCGGATCGCTGCCCTCGGCCTCGAGGTACTGGAACAGTCGCTCCGAGCCGCGCTTTTGCGTGGCTGCGTTGGGCAATCCGCCGGTGAGCAGATCGTGCGGCGGGATCAGCGATCCGTTGGCGCTCAGCCGCCAGCCGACCATCGACGAGGGGTTCACGATGATCTCCTGGAGCGGTCCGCCGCCGGAGATGTTGCCGCTCAGGCCGCCGCCGCCGCCGCCGCCACCACCGCCTCCGCCGCCGCCAGCACCGGCCACGCCCTCGTTGGTGGTGGTGGTGTAGATGGTCACGGCACCGCCGCCTCCGTTCGCATTCCCCACATTGCCACTGGACGAGCTAACCGGAAATGGTCATGGTGGTGAAGTGGTGAAGTCGTGGTCGATGGTGAGTGGTGGTCGATGGTGAAGTGGAGATGTGGTGATCATGGTTCGGGATGTCGTGGGAATCGAGAGTCGAGAGAACGAGAGAACGAGGGTAGTAACTAGAGTTAGGAACGTTGTGCGCGCTCGATTGGTTTTTTTTTTTTTTGTTTTGGTTTTTGGTTTTTGTTTTTTGTTTGGTTTGGGATGTTTGTGTTCTGTTTTCGGGAGGGGTTTTCATATTTTTGGATTTTCTTTTTGGTTTCATGGGGCAGGGCGGTCTGAGAATGTTACCCAAAAGCGTTGCCGGCATAGGTGTTCAGCTGGTTGTTGGCCACCAGGCTGTTGCCAATGGTTCGCAGCACATTGAGGTTCTGGCTGTGGCTGTGGCCCCCGGCATTGGCATTGGCGTTGGCGCTGCTGCCGCCATTGCCGCCGCTGCCGTTGCCGTTGCTGTTGCCGCTGCTGCTGCCGCCGCTCTGGTTGCCGTTGCCGCTGCGCGCCGGCCGGTTATCGTGCGGACTGATCAGATCGGGGTTTACATATATTGGTTAGACAAACAGAGAACGTCCGGGGGTTTTTGAGGGGGCAGCGAGAGAAGCGGGGCGAAAGAGAGTTCAAAAGCTGTTTAGAGTTTTTCGTAATTCCCAGGCCAAACGAGGGGGAGGTTCGATTCGGACATCCGAAGCGTTGGGTACCCTTGCAGAGGGATGTTTCCCATGGGAGATATATCATAAAACAACATTATTCAAAATCGCTGCTAGAAGGGGAAACCATTTTGCATTCAAAGTAATGGATTCATTCAGCGGTTTAAGCATCGTTTGATTAGAGTAAAGCAATAAGTTCGTAATAATTAACTTTATATATCATACAAAGCGGACAGTGAGTTAGTAGACGGTTGTAAGGACCTCCCAGCGAATCCCCTGCAAGGGTATAATAAGGGAACACTGCTATAACTACAAATACTTACTGCACATCGCTCATGTGAGCCTGGTACTCCTCCTGCGTGTCCGCCAGGTAGGAGCACTTGCTGCAGGCCCGCTTGTTGTGCACCTTGAGCACGTGCGTGGCCAGGCGCTCGGAGCGCGCCGCCTTGTAGTCGCAGAGCAGACAGACGAAGGGCTTTGTGTGCGTGTTGAGGTGCCGCTTGAGGCCCCACTTGTCCGCCCCGGACCACGGGCAGTAGCAGCAGGTGAAGCGCTTCTCGCGCTTCGGTTTCAGCAGGCCGGATCCGCTGCCGCCGTTGCCGTTGCCGGCGTGGCTGCCACTGCTGCCGGAACTGGAGCTGGCCACCGGCTGCTGCATCACGCCCACGTGCAGGGGCAGCACCACGCCGCCGCCGTCGTCGAGCTTCTCCTGCTTGAGCTGCGACAGCGGCATGTCCGTGGCCGAGGCCACCGCCTCGATGGTCTCCACGATGCTCATGCTGGTCGAGGTGGGATGTCGTTGGGCCTCCAGGAAGGCGTTGTCGATGTTCACGCCGGCCGAGTTGATGGTCACGTTGCCACGACCGCCCGAATGGTGGGAACCGCCGCCCGAGGAGCCGCTGCCCGAGGAGCCGCTGCCCGCCGAGACGTGTCGCCGGGTCTTGTTGATGTCGTACTGCAGCTCGCGGTGCATGCGCAGGAAGTGCTTCTTGACATGGTCGGCTCGGTTGAACTGCTTCAGGCAGGCGTAGCACTGGAAGGGCTTCTCGTCCTTGTGGATGTTCTCGTGCCGGGTGTACAGGTCCCTCCTGTCCGTGGAGTACGGACAGTGGGTGCAGGCGTACCGCTTCTGGATGTGCACTCCGTTCGCGGCGGCGGCGGCCGCTGCCGCTTGGGCGGCCTTCTTGCGACCGCCTCCTCCGCCGCCGGAGGAGCTCGTGCTGCCGCCACTGCTGTTGCTGGGCGCTGAGGTGGGTGTGGATTGGGCCAGGTTCTGGGCCGCGTTGGCCGAAGTGGAGGGGCTGGCGTAGATCAGCTCAGCCGCATGCTCCTGACGGTGTTTTCTGTGGGGAACAGAAGAGGTTGTAGAGTTAGTAACTACCATTCATATCTGATTATCATATTTTACACTTACTTGGACTTGGGTGTGCTCTGATGCGGCTGCTGTTGCTGCTGCTGCTGCTGGTTGACGTGAGCGTAGCTCTGGAGCTTTCCGCCCGAGGTCCACTGCACGAGCTGGGGCTCAGCGGCTGCGGCGGCCACCAGACCAGATCCGTCCTGCGCCCAGCGCTGCTGCTGCTCGCCGGCCTTCAGGAGACCCGCCTGGCCAGCAGCAAAGCCGTTCTGCATTAGGGCCGCCAGCCCGAAGGCCGTGCTCAGATGGTCCTCGGACTTGAAGCCACCGACGGCCGCCACACTGGGTGCCGGCACCACAGTCGCCCCACTGCTGGCCGTCACCACCACGGAGTTGCCCGACTCCGCCTGCTGCTGCTGTTGCTGCTGCTGCTGGATTACATTGGCCTGGGTGGTGGCCACGTTGTTGCCCGGGGCACCGCCTGCCGCACTGGACTCGTACTCAATGCTGGGCGCTGCCGAGCGATCGAGTTGTTGCTGCAGGAAAAAGGAGAGAAAAGTGTTTAATAATTTATCCACAAGTACTTCCAAATCGTATTTCTTTTCAGTTTTTTCATCATCTGATAATCATAATTCCTGTAATAGAATTTCACCTACCAGGTTCGTGAAGGAGCGCTGCTCGCCCTCGGGCACCGCTGTTGGCCCGCTGGTGGCCACCTGCGCCACCGGCGTGCCGAGCGTGTGCAAACCGTTTCCGGTCTCCTCGCCGTACAATTTGCGTGTGATTTCCTTGAACATATCTTCGTATGTCGCCTCCACATTGGAGGACTGTCCGCTCGCTGCTGGATGGCCGCCGTTCACTGGTATTAGTGTGGCCATTGCAGGTGCTTCACGTTGCCGTCGGCCTTGGCTAGCGGGCGGGCTGCTGCTGCTGCTGCGGCTGCGTTCAGGGGGCGGAGGCTGCTGCGCTTGCTGTTGCCTCCACGTCCACTCGCCGAGAACTGCAGAGAAACAGAGAGTCACGGAAATTCTTTACTACACTGGAAATATTTTCTAAATATTTGGTCTACTTTTTTACTGTATACACTATATTTGGCTAAGGCTACTATTTATTATCTTGAATAATAAAATTATTATTCTTACAAGTAAAAAAGACAAATTAGAACTTGTTTGAATAATTTTTTATATTAACTAATACAATTTTCATAAAATGTTTACACGCAAAAAGAAATGAAATCTGCGTGCAGCAAAAAGTTAGATTGCAACAGAGACTTATAACGCGAGGGGCTTTAATAAATCCGACTATCTTAGGCTCACATCCGGTACCAAAATACCCAGCTCCTCCCGCCAATGCCGACGTCACTTGTGGGAAACGACTGCTGACACATCCAACTCTGATTTGATGGGGCAACGGGGGGACGACGGCGACGGCAGCGACGGGCGGAGAGGGGTGGTACCGGACTGCCTTGGGGGCGCTTGCGTGGGGGGTTTTGCTTTTGGTTTCGGTTGCGCACTGGGCTTGAACTCGGGCTTGGGTTTCGATTTGACGTCGCCGCAGCATCGCTGAGTCAGCCAGACAGCGTTTCTGAGCGAGCGTTGTGTTTACGAATTTCCGATTTCTGGACCACCGATGTCGACTGGCAGGTCACAAAAGCACCGAAAGCGTTTTGGTTCAAGTAGAAGCCAGAACTAAAGAATTTGGGAATTCATTTTTGAAACTCAGTCAATCAAAAACGATTCAATTATGAAATCGGAACTTCATTATGCAATAACTGCTGACTTAGTAAATAAAACAATTGACACATTCGTCGCCTGACACAGTTGTTTAATGCACAAAAACACTCACACACCCGGCTCTTTTTTGGGGTCCCAGCTGCATATATTAATAAATTTACCACCTTGACGTGCCCAACTAACGAACTAACCCAAAACCCCATTGATCGTCTTCCACTCGACGGGTTTGTCATCATCATCACCTTCATTGCTAGCCCAGCATCATTTTCATAGAAAGACAAATTGCCAGCGATCGTGGCAATTTTTTGGCGGTGCTTTTGTTCTGCGGTGGGTGGGTGTGGGTTGTGTCCCTCCCTCTTTCTATACACTCAGAAAAAAATCTGATTCGTTCAAACTTAAACATCATGAACAAAATATGTTTATAATCTGATCGAATATAATCAATTTTAAGAAATGATCTTGAATTTTAGCGACAGAATCTATTCATTTAGTAAGAAATCAAAAACTTTAAAGGCATTTTTTTTTGTAATTATTTTCTTGGCCACATGTTGCTGCGCCCCGTTTCTGCGAAGAAACGTTTCTCTGACACTTTGTGGCGACAAAATCGTCTGTTTGGTTTGCTGCTGGGCCCTGGGCACGTTCTATGGCCCAGCGCCAACGGGTGCGCCCACCCACCCACACACCCACTGGTGGCCCCAACCCGAGTTGCCAAGCTACCCAGTCACAGCACCACCCACACATCCACGACCGTTCCCAGTCCCAGAGATCCGTTCCGATACGATCCGATAAAATCCGATCCGTAGCCTGTTTTTGTCCTCTCTTTTGAGTTCATATTTCGTATCTGAGTTTTGCATATTTGATTTTTATGCTTCGTGTGCTTTTTACAGTGGGGTGTTGCTGGCGTTTTCTGCCTCCATGGGGGCGTTTGTTGTTGTTCTTTTTGTTGTTGGCTTCGTTGTTTGCTTTACTTCGAGTGTTTTCGGGAGGTCTGGGGAGCCGAGTCTCTGGGGCTCGGGGATTAGGGGGAGTGGGGGCAGACTGCCCTGATCTGCTGGCTCGGCCTCACTCACTCGGTTCTCTGCGTGTGGTTTTTCAAGCCAAGGGCATGTCTTTGTTGTTGCCTTTGCATTTGTTGTTGCCGCTTGACTTTGGCCACGCTCTCAAGATCATGCCGCACCATAACCTCCATTTCGGATCTGGGGTTTAGAGAGGCAGGAAAGTGCAAGTGTTGGGTTTGGCCAACCAGTTTTCGTTTGCACAGCGAAGGATAATTTCTTTCGTTAGCTTAAGCCTCATTATATTTCTAAAAGTAAAGATATTGATACTGAGAGAGCAAACTAAAACACGCTTTCAACAATTTCTATAGTAGCTCCAAGGACTGTTTTCTTTAAACAACTAAAAAGAAAACTCTTGTTAAATTTTTACGAGGTGAAATGCAGTTAAAGGAAAATTATAGAAAGTCTAAGATCAAGTCGGTCCAGCTGTATGGTTATATTTCCCACCGCTCCCAAGATTTCTATTAATTTGCGTCGCCTCAGCGCCGCCCCCTGATAAGCGGCCGTTGAGGGGTCAACTGTTGTGGGCGAGACAAAACACTAAATAAAAAAAAAACCTAAAAGAAATACAACAAGCGGAAAAAGTGTCATGCGTTGCCAACAGCAAAAGCGCGCGTGTGGGTGCTGATGCCTCCCCCTTTTCTACATGTTGCTGCTGCTGCCCCACCGCCACTAGCAACAACAACATCCGCTTTGCTAATAACAGACGACAGCAAAAAAAACCAACAACGGGAGTGGGCTGAAAATGGGCGCAAGGCAGCAACAAAATCAATTTACAACAACAAAGGAGCAACAACAACAACAAAAGCCACACACACCACGCGCACATCAGAACAGCGATCAGTCGACGTCAAGTGGGGCAGCGCGGTCGACGCCAATTGTGTGGTGGGTGTGCAAACAGACGCCAACTTGGGGGAGTTTTGAGAGCGAGAAAGAGCGCAGAGCGGGAGAGAAACCGGTTGGGCAGCTGAAAAATGCCGGTTGGGGGAATTTTCGCAGTTTTGCCTCTCACGTAATAAGTGAGAGAGCGCTTGATCGTCGTCCCTCTCGCTCCACCGCCCCCTCTCTTACTTTTATCACTTGGCAGATGTCGCCTTTTTTGCAGATGCCGGGCAACTGTTAACGGTAAACGCATTATCTGCTCTCCCCCTTTTTTAGGCTGGTGGGGTCTCATTTTTGGGGATTTTTTGATATTTGAAATAATTAGCCTAGGCTAACCAAAAGTTGTTGCCCGTATTCGAGGGCGGTCATCAAAGTGCAAATTACAAAACACGCAGATATTTGCAGCTACAGTGGATATACAAAAAAAGACAGGGAAACATACATATATTCTTAAAATAATAAATGTTTAAAAGAACACTTTTATATGTTTTTTAGATTGTTAAAATTGAAAACTTAATTTTAATGTTTCTTTGAACTTAAACCTCAAACTATTTTTTTTTTTTGCATTCGAGGTGTTTTTTATAGAAGGCGGACTGTAGAGTTATACACACAGTTTTTAACACCCGTGGGTTGGGCCAAGCGATCTGGCAATCCGGCGACCTGGCAGCTCAGGGTGAGCCACAACATTTACTTGTTGTTGCGGTGAAAGGCCACAAGCGCGACCACAGAGGGGGGTGGGTTGGCCCGGTGGGAGGGGACGGCATGGGGGCGGAGTGCCAGCAGCAGCAACACCAAAAACAACAGCCGACGAAGCCACCAGCTAATGACATGTTAACGCTACAATCCCTCCATTCGACCACCCCCTTCCTCGTGAACACCCTTCCGTTACCCCCCTCGTTATCCAACAACTTAGCAAGCGACCAGCACGCAGTTATTAAAAAACGCTTTGGCTGATGACGCACAGTGGGACGGGTGGAGCTGCAAGAGGAAGATATTCGCATTCGAAGTGCAACAGTCAACAGTTGATTTCTTGGGACTGGAAATTTCCCATCTATTTTCATCACAAGAATAAGATCCTACGAACTGGGGCTTGCGAAAGAATTTATTTCCTAATATTCATTATTATTCTGCAAAATTTAAAGATCTGCTTAAAGGGAAACCCAACCACTGTGCCATTAGTATGTGGCGGCTACAACTAATCATCAGAGTGGGTGGGTGTCTAGCAACACGGCACCACCACCATCGATTCCAACTGACCGCAGCTGTCCCAATGATCCAACCGAATCCACCGACAACGAAATAAAATCGAAGATTTTATATGCGAGCCAAATTAACACCAAACAGCAAAAGCTAAAGCTACGGCGACTGCCAACGGTATTCTCACTGTGTTTTTTCCGCTTCCCTCGCCTTTTAACGCCCACAATCAAAAAAACGAAGTCGGCTGCGACGCAAGCGCAGCTGGGTGTTTATTGTTGGCTTGGGTTTACGGGGGGGTTACGGGCGCTGCGAGGGGTTCCAAGTGGGTGGGTGGGTCTCTGGGATGAGGCGAGGTGAGCTAAGCATGTGTGGGCCGAAGCTGTTGTCATCGATTGCATTCGTTGGCCAATTTGCTGCGTGGGTCACTGTTTCTTCTCCAAGATTTTTTTGTTTTTAAGGGGAGGATGAAGTTTAAAAAATAATTTTAAAGCAACTGCGGTACCCATTTCTAGTTGTTCAATTGTTTCTATTGACCACCAAAACCATGTAATCTTGAACTCATCTTACTTTCTAAAAAAAACTCATCGCTAATCACCATCGCTGATGATCTACCTCAGTAGAAATTATCATTATTTCAGGGGAACTTTTCCTGGAACTATTTTGAATTTACTTTGTTTTATCGACTATTATTATGGAACTTTTACAAGTCAATCAAAATTTGTTCAAATAAGCCCATATTGATGCGTATGCATTACCATAAAACAAAACAAAAATTCCCCTTCTAAAATTGTGTTCTTGAGCTCAGCCTACTACCCAATGAAATATATCATTGAACGCTTTCCCCTCGCAAATAGATTAGTAACTTGAGGGAGCACGTTTCCTCGACACTTCCTTTCCCATTCCCATTCCCATGGCGGCATATCCTTGGGTTAATGGGGCTACCGGCAAACAAAGGACAGCAGCTAAAGCGACATATATATGGGTGGCAGGTGGTACTTTTTGTGGCCACGATTCGACGGCAGCTGCTGTTTCTTCTTTTCTTTATTTTGTTTTTTTGGCGTCTTCTCTTTGAGCTTGTTTTTAGGTTTTTGAGGCGGATGACCAGCCACCAGCAGACAACAAAAGCAAATTGC